AAAAAAAGGAACATGTTAGATACAAGAAGGACAGGAAAGGATAGGGAAATGAGTTGCGCCATCTATAGGCGCCACCGCCACCATAAATATCATCTTTCACACAAGGGTAGCGCCATCTACTTGGCAGATCTTGGCAGTATCTATTGGCCCAACCCTCCTAATCATCTTCCACACAAGGGTTGTGCCATCTACTGGGCTATTATCGTGCGGCGTTCTGTTATTGGTTCAAGCGCAAGTGCAAGGAAAGGGAAAGGTGAAGGGAAAGGCAAGGGAAGGATAGAGAAAGGAGAAGTGAATGAAGGAAAGGAAAGAAAAGAAAGGCTAAGGAGAGGGAAAGGAGACATTAAGGAAAGGATAGCAAAGGAGAAAGGAAGAGAAGGAGAGAGAGAGAGAGATAGAATATGAAAGAAGGAGAGAGAAAGATAGTTCAAAGAGAAGAACATTAACTAAAAACAATTGGAATTTAGCAGAGAGGTTGTCTACAAAAATCAACGACTTATATCAGTGTTCTTTGCAGAAGATGGCGCAAGTCTACACTGTGAATGGGTGGAATGCCATTTATTATGCTTGAGGATGCATAGGTATATATGGTTATTTTATCACGGTTTTCCGCAGGCGCTTTTGGCACTTTCTGGTGCCATCTACTCGTTTCCGGATATAGCCATCTATTCTGAAAGCAGTGTAATCATTTCCAATTGCCATGTTCTATATGCACTATTTGCACCGCAAGTTACCGAAAGTTCTATGTTAGTCTTGATCTCAAGGAGTGGAAGTCGTTTGAGATGGCACGATTTCCACAAAAAAATCTCATCTGTTCTGGGGTGGATTGTCCTCGCAGGAGAAGTTTATCCAAGAGATGCACCCTGGGCTGAGTTCAGAGTCTCAGGTTTCAGCGGTTTTGTTCGAGACACAGTTTCCTGCGACGCATCATTTTGGACTCCCACTCCAGTCTGAGCGGGACGAAGCTTCGACATGGGCCGACGAGACACGACCGACGCCCAGGCTTCCGAAGGTCATGGGTGCCCGGAGCTGGACGACCTCGTTGGTCTATGGCGAGCCCAAAGACTTTGGGCGCCTTCCGCATCCGGCAGGGCGTCTGGGCCGAGAGGTTTTCGAGGGATTTGTTTTTTCTTGGAGAAAGCGACGGACAGGGAGACACGCCATGGGAAACACGCAAATTGAATAGCCGGACAGGGAGACAGGCGGGAAACCTCTGGGAATGGGATCAGCACGACCAAGGCCAGATTGAAGCAACATGTTGGACGTTCTGAAGCCTCAAGACCCCCGTTGAAGTGGAGAGGATCGACCACATGTGGAAGCATGGGTCGGACTGTTTCCCCATATGATTGATACCGGGTCATACCACTTGTTAGCGCCCAAGTATATCTCATCCGATTCGATGATCCCGGGAATGTCCCAAGCGCCTTCAAGTCCTGCGAAGCCGATGAGGCGAAATCAAGACCGCATCCTCTCCATGCTGCCGGCAGATGTCCAAAACCAAATCTTCGCATCTGTCGCCACACTGACGTCCGATTGAGTGCTACGCACCGGCGCCCCGAGCGATTGGAGAAGATTGAGAAGATCGGAGCGCGGCTAGCGAAGCGCTCATGAGGCTGCCTGGATCTTCCTGGAAGATTATATGGGTCATGCATGGCCCAAATATTCAGTTTTGTTTGTTTGTCCATTGCCTCACTCCACGTGAAGCCAATTGAAGAATATTGAAGAATCTTCATACATGTTCGTACCACTCTTCACGAAATGCTGCAAGCTTTGCTAAACTGAAATTTGTACGCCACATCTTGATGCCATGCAAAAGCGTAATCATCATTCCCGTCCTTAGAGTTGTAGGAGGAACCTGAAAAAGCTCGCTGTTGGAAGAAGATTCACCAAAGGAGAACGAACAAAATCTTTATGGTGAATCGTGAATCCTGAGCAACAACAGGCATCTGATAAACCTCCGACGGCTTTGCACCACTCGTCGTGGTTGAGCTGTGGAAACCACCGTTCCTCTTGCAATTTTACCTCAAATTTGGTCTATGCAATTCACATGGAAATGGCAGCAGCAACCTACCACACAAACCATCGCGTGCTCCACGCGACGGAAGGTAAATCAAAACATGGCGACCAAAGCCACTGGGTGTCACCGTGCGTCACCACAAAATGACTTTCAAGGACTCGAAGCGACCGGCGGCGGTGGTGGATGATGCCACCTTCACAACTCCCTATAGGCCCCTTTCTCATTGAGCAAGTCCTTGCCGTGTGCTTCCACACGCCATGCGTCACAAAAGCTTCCAAGTTGCTGGAAGACATGTACAACCTGGAATTGGGTTGGGCAAACACGGACGAAGAGCCATGTGTGTGATCCAGGACTTCTGCTGGGAAGGGTCTCCTCCAATGAATCGGAATGATGATTACGCTTTGCATGGTATCAAGATGTGGCGTAGAAATTCCACCAAACCTTGAAGAGTTAAATTTAGATTATTTATTTTTTTAATTGAAGATGAATTCTTGTTTCTAATAGCGAACATTGTTCCTAGTAGCGATGCCCTTTGCTCTTAGTAGCATCCTTGCTCCAAAGTAGTACGAAGATGTCACCAAACGCAATGAAGGGTTTCTTACATTTTTGGGGAGCAGATGTGATGTTCAGACTCTGAAGAGTCGTAAAGAGAGGATTTTGGAGAGGAGGTGAGCTCCAAGTCAAACGGAGACTTTGCAAAAATTCACAGCCCCTGGATGTGTTGGCAGTTCGCTTTGGAGCCGCCAGGTGGTCATATCAGGCAAAAACAGTGAACATTCTATTTTGCCGGTTATGAAGAAGCAGAGCAAGCAGATCTGTGGATATGTGCATCAAGACACTTGAAGATAAACCAATTGAAAGTCGCTCGGACGAAACGAGCGGCTGCTGTATATGAAGGTCTTTCCATTCTCCACCGTCCACCAAAAGAAATTCATGCCTCAAGAGTCACTTGTGTTTTTTTCCACTCCAGGTGGATGAAACTCATATGGGGCAGGGCCTCGGAGGGCTGTTGTTGGACGCCGAAGCCGAAGATCATCGCCACAGATACTTAATACGTGCATGCACATCCTGCTCATAATTACTAGTTAGCTGTTGCTCCAAAGTGGCAAACAGAAATGGGAGGGGGCCGTGAGTGTCACTAATGAGTCCACTGACTAAAACTGTGGCAGTTCACCAAGATTAATTGAAGCGACGACAAACATCTCACACATCATGTTGTCGATAGCTTTGAACTCTTTTCGGTGCTGATGTAAGCAACAACATTGGGGCCCGCTCGCAGCTGAGGAATTGGTTGGGAGTGTGAACGAGTAGAACTTTGCATTTTGGCGCGGAATAGCCGCGATCGACGATGCTATAGTATACGGCGGGGTTTGAATGTTACTGTATGTTTTTTTTGTTTCAGAATATGAAGCCGCCTGAAAAAACTGTTCTCAGTTCTCAGGCTCAAAGTGGCAACATCAGAAGGTGCACCTTCTCACTTTCTGAAAGGATCGAATGGATCCGAGTTGGCCAAGCAGTAAGGCTGCTGAAAAGTGAAAGTCTCACCCGTTGCCGTCCGCAGCTTGCGACTTTCTTAGACGTTTGGGGACGCCCTGCATCATGCTCCATTACAGTGCATTTATAGATGATGAGGACAATTGGTGGGAACACATGTCAGTCTTGGACATCGTTTCTGAGTTCTTTTCTTTTTTTTCTGGAACATCCGGTGTCCGATCGAGTCCGATCGAGCCCCATGGAGCCATGCCATTGCTTGGAGATCTCAGACGATGCCAGGCATGGACAAGACGGTGTTGGGCTGGATCCTCTCGGGAGGGGCCACTCATTGGACAGCCGGTGGACTACAGGCGTGGCGAAGGGGTGACACAGAGCACCTGGATGAAACGGAGTAGCTCCACTGGATGTTTGCGATTCTTAACAGCAATAATTATCATAGATGGATGCGGTAATCAATCAAGTTTCATACATAATTTGGGATCATGGTGGATCATATGAAGAAAAAAAACTGTATACACTTCATGGAAATGTAAATCATATGGATCCAAGTGAAGTGATTGGATAAATTTGCTGCACGGCGGTTGGCTACCCCTCGGTTCGCCTCAGGCCCTCGATTTGCGGGGCACTGGCTCCAGAGTTGGGACCCTGAGACGAGCGGCGGACGCGAAGAGGGAGTGACACTGAGTCCGGGGGAGGCCCTGGCATATAGCAATGCTAGGTAGGGGGGGGGCCTCCCTGTTAGAATCTCCACCAACAAAAAGATCCTGATCAAGATGCCTTAAGGCTCGAGGCTTACCCGGCAAGCCTTAGCCAGAGCGACCGAGGCGTTACGTGGCTATCAGGAAAGTGGTTATGGAGTCTCTTTGCTGCAAGCGTCCGAGTGCTTTGGCCGAGATGCGACATGTGTCACCGTCCAATGACACTTATATAGATGTTCTTCAATTTGTATCATAGCCGAGACAACCTGACTTTGACTCCGAAGAGATCGCATTGGATGTTCCAACATGTTCCGATCCAACATCGGCACGTGGGGCACAAAATCCTCATGTCCAGGTCACTTCCTTGAATGAAATGCATTGATGTATTGTCTCAATGTTCATAAGAGATGTTGGCTTCACTAAATGCGAACAGCTGGGAAATACCGGGGTGAATCATTGTCAAACCTTAGGTTCCAGATCATATCCTGCCCAACAGACTCAGAATGTAGACACAATGATTAATGATGCACGTCAAATCAGTTCCCACAAGGTTTGATTTTACAGTGGATGACGCGGGTTCAAACAGGTGGTTTACATGGATCCCAATAATGTAGGTGTGTGAAAGCTACTCCAACCACTGCACTGTGGTTGTTTATTTGTGTTTAGCTGTCCTTTGCATATGCTGACATGGCCCAGGATCTCCTCAGTCATCCACAGTGATTCTTTTGTCAACTTGCTGTAGGTTGAGAGATGCCCAAGTAGATGGCACACACCCACAAAAGCTCGTTGGATGTGGTTGGTCTGAGGTTGACGGTGCATTTTGCTGCTATCTACTCAGGTCTTCTGTATGGACCCATTTGAGTCCAAAAAGGGTCGTCACTCTGCTTCGTTTGCACGTCGGGAGTCCGGTGCCCAGGTGGTCTCCGGTTTTGGCCCGGTCTTCGCCCACTTCCCGGGCCTGGACTTGACGGTGGCTGTGCTGGTGCGGAGGCCTAGGAATCCGCAACATCGCGGCCAGTTTGGATGCGAGGTGGGATGACCCATGCGTTCAGCTGGGGAAACTCCCACCAGTGACACCTAGATGACCATTGTTCGAGGTGTTTGCGATCCAGTCTGGGTGGGTAGTCCAGGTTTTTCTTCTTTTTGGGGGGACCTCGCTGGGTGTGGAAGATCACACAGGTCATCAAGCTTGAATTCTAACTGAATCAACCCAAAAGGATCCAAAAGGTCCACCCTTCATCGGTGGCTCCCCAGCGTTTTGGACTTCGGTCGCTCCCGAGGTGAACGACGTGATCCACGGTCGCAAGGCGGCTGAGGAGTTGGTCACCGCCGTGTTGCAGGGCTTTGGCGTGGCGGGGGACACCCAGCGGTGGGGGATGAGGGAGCGGGGGACGTGGCGTTGTTTCCTGCACGACATGGCTGGGTAAGATGGATCAGAACAAGAGTCAAGTAAAACATTCGAGGACTGGGTAACTTACACACTTTAGTATATAGGAATGATTCTGTGTTGTGGCAATAGTTGTGTGGGTAGAAGGCGAAGAGGTGACTTTGTTCTAGTTACTAGTTTTGTGCAGTCATATTTTTGTTTCATCTACCTCGGGACGGGGTCAATTCCATCCACAGTGAAGCAGTAGGCAGCCATTCCCACATCGTGACGAACTGATGTTGAGAGTACCATCCCTCAAGGGCATCTGGATCAAAAAGTGCACATGATTCAACATGTAAAGGATGAAAAGAAAAACCTTAACACTATCAAAAAGAAAACAAGTATATAAAGGATCAACCAGTCTTCGAGTCTAGTGGTCCCCTAGGCCCTTGGTCTCCTAGTCCGCTGGTCCCCTGGTCCTTCGGTCTCCTGGACTGGCTCTTTTGCCCACTCAAAGGGAAAGGGTCCTTTGGTCCCTGGTCCTTTGGTCTTCTGGTTCTTTGGTCTTGTGGTCCTGTCATGCCCTAGTCCTTTGGTACCCTGGTCCCTTTCCTGGTCCGCTGCCCTCACGCTCCGTTGGTCAATGTTGGTCAAATCCGCTACCCGGTTGCCTTGGTCCTTGCGTCACTTTTTGAGTGCCTTTCATTGATGAGGCAATGGGGTGTGTAGTTTCGATGGTGATCTATTTTGTGGCGCCTTTTGAGTCTGATGGCTTTTGATGTTTGGTTCGCGCTGGTGGGGAGGCGCTGCGCCCTCCCCCCAACCCCCCTCCCCTTGAGCGCCACGAAATCTGCACTACTTTGCCAATGAGCTGGCCCTACCACGACAGATGTTCTAAAGGTTACCCACGCACCCATCGCTCTCACAAGATATTAATACGCACCCGCCTAAGTCTTTTACGAAAGCCAGCCTTCGTAGAAGGCGCTAGCGGAGTTGTGTCTGGCGAACGAAGTGAGTAGTTAGGGGGTCTGGGGGGGTGGCCCGAGAAAGGTACACGTCAACTCGGCACATGCTGGGGGAGGAGGGTGCTTCGAGGGAAGGTTTTTTGAGGTTGTGTTGGAGGTGATTTTTGAGGGGTGGTGATGCAAGAAATGCCAAATGCATCATTTGCATCATCTGAATGGAAAGGTGTAGTTGGCACCTTGCAAGGTATAGAGACCTAGGGTAGCCATAGTGCAGCTACCAGGTATAGTACTTCAAGTTCCCTTTCCGTCAACCGCTTGAGAACCTCTACACACGCACAGCAATCCACAGCTTTGAAGTCTCATTCGTGCTTTGAACTTGTATAGGTGTGTAAGAGGTATAGCAACATAGTATTTATACGGACCCAGGGTAGCTACAAGTAGCTACAGTTCTGTTCCCGGGTATGGCGCGCATGAGGCTTCAAAGCTGTGGTCTTCAAGCTAAATTCAAGGTGGCCTGAGACCAGGGTTTGCTGCCCTAAAACACTCTGTTCAGGCCACCTTGAAAACAAAGGTGTAGTTGGCACCTTGCCAGGTATAGACACCCAGGGTAGCTATGTAGCTGTGGCTTTCAAGCTAAATTCAAGGTGGCCTGAGACCACGGTTTGCTGCCCTAAAACACTCTGTTCAGGCCACCTTGAAAATAAAGGTCTTGTAGCTACAATTCTGTTCCCAGGTATGGCGCGCATGAGGCTTCAAAGCTGTGGTTTTCACGCTAAATTCAAGGTGGCCTGAGACCAGGGTTTGCTGCCCTAAAACACTCTGTTCAGGCCACCTTGAAAATAAAGGTGTAGTTGGCACCTTGCCAGGTATAGAGACTCAGGTAGCTATGTAGCTGTGGCTTTCAAGCTAAATTCAAGGTGGCCTGAGACCACGGTTTGCTGCCCTAAAACACTCTGTTCAGGCCACCTTGAAAATAAAGGTGTAGTTGGCACCTTGCTTGCAGCTAGCAGGTATAGTACTTCAAGTTCCCTTTCCGTCAACCGCTCGATAGCCTCTACACACGCACAGCAATCCACAGCTTTGAAGTCTCATTCGTGCTTTGAACTTGTGTAGGTGTGTAAGAGGTATAGCAACATAGTATTTATACGGACCCAGGCTAGCTTCAGAGCAACATGCAAACGACTATAGGATTAAAACTAAACTAAATAAGCCACCTGCCTGACCTTAGTTTTGGGCACGCTCAAGGGCTGGATTCAATCTTGTGGGCATGCTTCTGCTTGCACCAGAGTGGTCGACTGTGGACACCTGAAGGGGACTCAGGTGAGGATTTGGAAGGTCAGTCAAGGGTCCATATGCAATATGTTTCCATAATCCAACCCTTAGGGTTTATAGGCGGTATGTCTAGGTGCACACTCCCCGAAATAAGCATAGAAGTGGATGGCATAGCCCCAACAGGTGGTTTTCCACTTCTATGATTAGTTCAATCGGTGTACACAGTGTACCCCTTGGACTTTTACGAAAGCCAGCCTTTGTAGAAGGCGCTAGCGGAGTTGTGTCTGGCGAACGAAGTGAGTAGTTAGGGGGTCTGGGGGGGTGGCCCGGGAAAGGTACACGTAAACTCGGCACATGCTGGGGGAGGAGGGTGCTTCGAGGGAAGGTTTTTCGAGGTTGTGTTGGAGGTGATTTTTGAGGGGTGGTGATGCAAGAAATGCCAAATGCATCATTTGCATCATCTGAATGGAAAGGTGTAGTTGGCACCTTGCCAGGTATAGAGACCCAGGGTAGCTATAGTGCAGCTACCAGGTATAGTACTTCAAGTTCCCTTTCCGTCAACCGCTCGAGAACCTCTACACACGCACAGCAATCCACAGCTTTGAAGTCTCATTCGTGCTTTGAACTTGTATAGGTGTGTAAGAGGTATAGCAACATAGTATTTATACGGACCCAGGGTAGCTACAATTCTGTTCCCAGGTATGGTTTTCAAGGCAAATTCAAGGTGGCCTGAGACCAGGGTTTGCTGCCCTAAAACACTCTGTACCTTCAAAATGACGGTCTGCGAAGCGAGAGCAGAGGATGCATGTTGTCCTTCTGCTGCTTGAATGTGACATATACCCTTCAATAGGAACGCGGCCGCAACTGCGCGAGCTCATTTGATTGCTTCGACGCACACTTGTCCACAAAGGGAAGCGCTGGCTTTCGTTTTGCAGCTTCTCAGGTTTTATTTTGTGTTGCACGCGGCTGCAAGCATCCTTCCACTGTCCTGTGGTGGATGGGCCCCTCATTGATTGGGCAATGCGGTGTGTAGTTCTCGATGATGGTGCGCCCTGTGGTGCCTTCAGCGTGTGGTGGCTTTTGTAGTTTGCAACCCCGCTTCGGCGCCACGAAATCTGCACTACCAATGCGCTGCCACGACCGACTTTTTAAAGGTCACCCCATAGCATATCCACACAGCAAGTATTGCACACCCTCGCATAATTTTTAAAAGTTTTCAATCATCCTTTCATGGTCCTTTTGTCGCCCGCCCTGCTGCTGTTGTCCTTCCCTAGTCTCCTTTTCCTTTCATTGCTCACTGGGATACTGTTTGATCCCTTTCTGTTTTATTTTTGATCCCTGTCGACTTTTTTCTTGACGCCGTGTTTTTGTTTTTGATCACCTTCCCTCAAGACTCTTGGCACAAGTCCAAAGTCTTATTGGTATGTCCTTGGCGTCTCAATAAGAACCTTCCATATGTCCATCACCATCCTCCACTGCTCTGATCTCCACACCACCACTCAGTTTTGACTTTTTGCGTTCGCTTCCAAAGGCACCTTCGTGGCCAAAGATGACCATGAATGTCGCGTCCTCAATTGAACGTCAAACGTTGACTGGCTTTTGGATGGATGGTGTTGATCAAAGCTGGATCAGGTGGAGGTCCATTGACCATGACCAGTCTTGCTGCGGCTGCACCGAACATGCGATCATGGTACCTTCGGGATCATTTGGGTATGGAGTTGTTTGTTGTACTAATTGAGTTTCTTAGCCTTCAGAGACCAAATTTCCTCAAGATCCCGTGTTGAAACCATTAGACGCTCTAGATCCAGCTGTACGATGGGTTCCGGTCCGTGGCAAACTCCTGAGGTGGTCGCCGATGCCGCAGCCATGGCTGGGGATGCCCAGGGAAGACTGAGCGATATGGGGCCCAACCTGGTTCCCATCAATACAGACTTTGAACAGGTTCCATTTCATGGTAATGTAATTACTACCGTGGACGAGACGTCACAAGTGTTCCTTTCGTTTGGGTTTAAGTTTGGAGCAAACGTCCAGATTCACTTAAGAAATCTGAAAAATATGGTCTTGAATTTGTGTCCGTGTTGCTCTTCATCCGGCCGCGGGAATTTCCGGGAATCGTCAGAGGTGGTCCCGCTGGGTCCCTCGGACGGTCCCTGGGTTGAGCTAAGAGGGGAAAGGTTGGCAGCAGTTCGCACCAAACTAGGCCAACTCCAAAGATGCAGCACCCCTCCTGGACGCGGTGGGCGGCATGGAGGCAGGAAGTCGGATCAGGTTTCATTGTTTTCATATGTGTCCACATATCATGTGCCATTCAATAATCAATCACTCAGACTCCTACAGGGATCTATTTATTGCAAGATAGTGTAGCTGTGTAGCTTACTTATACTGTTACAATATGTTACTGTTACGGTTTGCTCTGTAATATTGGTTAATCTTTAGCTAACTGGCAGGAGGAATATTGTTTTGAGCGACAAGATAAAATAAGAAGAAAACATGTACCTTTGGGATGGAAGGCTAAACGGCTAAACCTGTTGGTACCCACCTTTCAACTCCAATGGTTCACGCCCCGAGGCTATATGGTTTGGTTCATGGAATCAGGGGTTGATTACCACAAAGCACAAGAATTGAGGGCTTACTAGCACGCAAGTGAGTTTTGTCAACCAATATTCAATATCATTTGACTCAACAGCGGTGCCCAGTCTTCTACTTGCCTTGCTTTTCTGTTTAAGAGCTGCCCAGCGCCTTGGTTCCAACAAGAACACATGATTCTTGCTCTCCAAGAATAGTCAGAGCCCTGAAGCCTTTTTGATCATTCTTGAATTGCAAAAAACCCTGGATCTCCATGGGCTAATCGCAGCCAGGGCCTCTCGCACCTCATGCAGATGGGAAGTGCCGAGGCTTTTGGGGTTGAAGTGGAAGCGACCACTTCGCCTAAGGTGATGGCTCGCAGGGTGTTAAAACAAAAGGCAAAGAAACAATGAGGCATTGGGTAAGGTTGGTCTTTTGATTTTGTGCCAGTGGGTCCGAGCACTTTGAGACAGACCCAAATACACCTTACATGATGAGTCCAAGTTAAATACATTACGAGCGTTACGAGTGCGTTTCATAGTTCCTCCAAAGAAACTTTGGCCTTTGGTTGCTTTGGTATTTACAGTGGCAGGGACCGGGAGGAAGCAACACCTGCTTCACCATGAGCGTGTTCATGTTTTGTTCCGCTACCATCAATGTGTGAGTTCCATCCAGTTGTGTTGTGGTTTCGTTTCCTCCTCTCCAGACTCCCGCTTCAAGGAGGTTTAATCTTGGATTGACAGAAGGGAATAGGCAAGGTTTGCAAGTCTTGGTCCTGTGGAGAAAGCATGAGTTGACGTTGGGTTACTTGCAAGGTCGTGTGAATAGGCTGCACATGAACAACGGAGTCTACATAATAGTCACAAGTCCCACTCACCAGGATGTATCTTTGATTACCGCAAAAACACGATTCGCTTGTGAGGCCACGGAAAGCAAGCCCTGTTGCAGCTTAGCACAGGAGCGACCTGTGGATTGTGACATACACTGTGATTTGTGAAGCTGGTCGAGTCGAATCCCCTCCAACATCCTCCAAGTGTCGAAGGTTACACCCCATGAAATTGAGACCTGTTTTGCCCCCACGCCAGGCCATACCACGAACAAGCGGCCTTCGTGTGCTCTTCTTTTGAAGTTGTTTTTTGTCGTTTTTTGTTTTTTTACCAAGTCACCGAAAAGAAAGAGCGAAATCGAAGGTTTTGAAGGTTTGCACCCCAGAGACACCTTTTTCCAATTCACCAATTGTAGAAGATGGCCCCTCCATCAGGGCCCAGGAAGAATTCATGGACCAGCTGAGACAGGGCAACCTCAATATTCATTTCCACAGTCAAGAGATACAAGATCTTAGAAGTTGCAGGGTTTTCGTATTCCAGAGTGGGATACCCAGGTTTCTGATCCACGCCGAGAAGCGGGCAAACCCTACTACACGGTCGACTTGACGGTCGGGGCACGGCAGGTGACTTCATCCTTGGCCCAGTGCTGTCATGGCATTTGCCGCTCATAGCGCACAGATGCGCCCAGAAACCGCAGGGGAGATCATGGCTGGTACAGTTCTCATAAGACACCTAGAGTCCTGAGAAGAAACATGGAAGAAGGATGAATGAGGGGTGATTGGAATTTGTTAAAGCATGTTCAGTCACTAAATATCAGGATGCCTTACAGATCAAGCTTGTGGTGACAGCTTGCCACCGTGCATGGGGCGCTCAGCACCTTTCAGAGGTGGGTAGGATCTTGTCACGGTGTTCAGTGGTCGCGAAGCCACAACACATGCTGGTGATGTAAAGACGAGATGAAACGGTTTTGCATGTTGCAGCATGTTCCGCATGAGTCAGGCAAGAAACTACTGAACGTGTTCCACAGTTGTGTAGTGTCTTGCTGGTATTACGTCCAGTGCCCGCAAGGCACGATCAATTGTCAAAACAGGCACGTGGAAAGATACAATTCCCAATGGACTCGGGGGAAAGGTCGTGTTTCACCCGCCCACCTCCTAAAGCAGATATTGGGATGATGGAATGGCATGATTAGGAAAACGGTGTGTGAAGGCGGACGTAGTTTCTTTTTATGTTTCTATGGTTAATGTGTGACTTCCTTGACACCGTAAGTTTCCCTTAAAACTATAAAGGAGCCAAATGATTAGTGCGAGCGCTTCAGATGGGGGGAGCTTCCTTGAAGAAGCGTGAGCTATCTGAGCTATCCTGCATCCTAAGTAGTAGCTTCCAGTACCTGATAGCTACTAACTAGCTTGCCTCTTCTAGCGGCCTCCCCCCCCGGGGCTTAAAAACAAAAATGACATCCACGGATCAACCTCGGCATCGAGCGTCCACTGAGCGGTCTCGTTTTCCATCGCTTTCACCACTCGCGGATCGCTTCTGCGGCACCCAGAAAGCACCGAGAGTTCGGTGGGAAGGGCAGAGGTCTTCTGGACGGGCGTCGATCTGAGATCGCTTCATCAGCGTTTTGCTGAGCTGATCCGTGATTCGGTGATTCGTAGGTCACAGAATCCTAAACGAATTGAATCAGTGTCAAGTTGATCCCTTTGACGTGCTCTTTTCTGTGCACAACAATCCACACTGATTGACACCAGCACCAGCCACTACCCGCCCATACGCAGACCATGAGCACCTACCTGTCGACGCGAAAGAAGAAGCTCTTCGTGGCGACCTTGGGCTGAAGAGATCTGGACAGATGGCCTCCCATCCTACTTGCGATGGCCTCCACTGGCCTAGGCGTCCCTTGTTAGGGAAATCCACAGGTAGATCAGGATATGACCACTAAGTGCCTGAAACTCAGGGTTTGCAGAAGAGTTTTGCATGGGCAGGATCTATGCAATCATGCCCTTGTGGTCTAATGACCAACCCTTTGGTACAATTGTTCTGCAATGTTCTGTATGTTTGCATCATCCAATCCATGCATGTCATGACATGTGGATTCATGAGCTCCCAATTGTATGTGCACTTGCTTTGCTCAAAGGCTGTCAATCATCAAAGACCCGTGCCCAAAGTGAACTACCTGCAAGGCATTGCCAATAAATGACATCTATAAACCAAGGCTGGGTGCTTTTCTGACTGCAGGGGGTCAATCCTGCGTGGTTGATATGCCAGAATGGTTGTAATCCCAGCCAGTAGTAGGGAGGCTTCTCCTTGATCCGAGCTAGTCTTTGGATGCTCAGCCCCCACGACCCGCCCGCCGGACTGTCGGGACCCGGGTCCGCAAGCTGAGGCTGTGGATGTACGCTTCGTCTCCGACTGGGTGGGCTGACTGGACCGTTTGGCTTGGCCACGGCGGAGAAGGGTGGTGAAGATACGGATGTGGCAGCTGCAATGTATTTCTGATGAAATACATGGTCCATGCCGATACCCGTTGAAAGGGACACTGCTAAATGGATTGTCATGGACTATCTAATCAGCTGCGTTGGCAAGCGTCCAAAACTGTTTGATGTTGACGCGATGCTCGAAATGTAAACATTCTCGGCATGAAGGGAACTGCTGCGGAGTCATGCATCCCAACTCAAAGGTCTTGTGTGCTGATTTCCCGTTCAGGCACTCATGCCCAAACTACTGCCTGCAACCTTTTTTTTGGAAGGCTTTTTTGGAACCATGTTTCCAGCTTGTTGAACAGTCTAACAGATGTTTCGACCAGGAGAATTACCTGACCTGGTGCCAAAGCGGCCAGGATGTAATAATAGTACACACACAATAGGATTATATATGATTATATAATTATGAATCTTTGGCCGCCAACCCCTACATGGAGAATTGGCCAGATCGTCATCGTCTTTAGCATCTTCATCACCGGCAAATAGCTCAGACGCCGCAGAGTTTCAGACGGCCGCGTTGGTGGGCAGTAGCCTAAGCCCCTGCGCCCAACGCATGGAGTCGTGGGGACCATTCTCCCATAGTAATATTTAATAGTAACAAGTGCCTTACTACTAGGAACAAGAACGCTACTAGTAAGTAACAAGGGCATCGCTACTACTAACAAGTGCCTTACTAGTAGTAACAAGAACGCTACTAGTAATAAGAAGTTACATGTTACCGGGATAACTGGTGGATGGTGCTATCGAACCAGAGAGTTCTTTTGGAAACTAGGTCCTAACTAGGTCCTGCGAACTGGGAGGTTGGGTGGTGTTGATATGCTTGTTGCAATCTATGCTGGACACATGGTATATATACAGTTTACATGTTCTTAGGTATATGCGGCGGATTGGCTCGGATTGACTTGATCATTGATGTGTCAAAATCAGCAGGATCCTCTTTCATTTGTTCGAAAGGCTTGGCAGGCAAAGACTCATACTTTGTCGAGACGGCAGGTCTATTTTTAGCCAGGGGTTCATGAGCAAGGATTTGTGTTTATAGTCTTTACATGGTGTGTTTTTTCTTGCATGCTGCAACTGTCCCGAGTGTCCCAGGCTTCTTTATTTTGATCCAGCAGGCCTGGGCCGTGATCGAGCTTCCGTTCATTTCGTTGAAGCACAGCCTAGCTGTGTTCCCTTTGCCGTTAATTGTCCGACTGGTCCGCAGGCTTCATGTGTCCAGCAACCAAGCAACCTGCCGACCAACTAACAACCGGCCAAGCAACCCACTGACCACCCGCGCAGCCTTCAAACCAGCCATGCAACTATATAACTAGCCCACTGATTAGCCCACCCATCCATTTGAAGGAAGTTGCCTCCCTATTTGCACATGTTTTTGGTTCCCTCCCGCACCCTCCGGGCCTCCGTCCGCCAGAGCATCTGGGACTTGGCGGCCTTGGTGCAAGAGATGCCTCCCTATGACCCGACGGCCTTGGCCGCGGAGGTGGCTCGACCGGTCGCGGGTTCGTGTGCTCAGTGCGAGCGTTTTGCAGCAGGGAGAAGTCTAAGGTGGTTTGGAAGGTGATAATCAATGATAATCATGATGGGCCCAAGTGCAGTGCTTCATGCTGTTTACCCGAACCCATAGACTTTTTGGCCCATTGCTTCAGATGGAGAACCACGAGAAGAGTTGGACGCTGATTCTGGATCGTGTGGATGAGGTGCCGAGTCCGAGAGGTCCGAGAGATGTGAGAACAGTGCAGACAAACGGGATCTTCAGAATGATTAGACCTGGATTCAGGGGATCCAGTATGATCCAGTCATCCCAGTCTATATTTTACTTGTACTAACTATACATACTCGTAATTGTTCTCGCTCGTGTTCCGAAAGTTCTGCAACCACTTGATCAAGCCGATGGTGTCTACAAATGGACTCAGAAGAACTTCATGGAGATGTTTCTCATGGCTGGCAGATGTTCTTTGTTCTTCGTTGGAGAGTGGCACAGACCTCGTTAGATGTGGTCGAAGGCTTGAGGTCCACCCGAGTTGGCGGACCTCGTAGACTAGTTGGCTATCGGCGGTGGGACTTGGGGAGTGACTTCGGCTGCTTTGGGAGAAAAAGTCTGAGCTTTGCCCGGAAGAATCCTGCAGGCCGGGTCAAATTCAAGTTTTTGCAACCAAACATCCGGTGTCGGTGTAACATGTTTCTCCCTAAGAGATCCCCGAAGACATTCAGACTTCTTACGATTTCTTCAGCAACTGCATGGTACTTCCAAAATCAGGCAGGGCATGGCCAGGTCCAGGCGTGGCCAGGTCCAGGTGAGTTCTCTTGTAAAGTTGTAAAGTTTGTGTGTAAATTTACAGCCGAAGATGTTAATTTCTGGGTGCTTGCTTTTGCTGAAGCTTCCGCCAAGGCGGCTTTCTTCTTCGACTACTTTCGCGTTGCTTTGTTGGGCTCTTAGTGGCGTTTCAGTTCAAGGTAATGCATCTATACTCAGTCTGCAAAGCTACGCGGCTACAGATGGAAGGCTGCAGGACCGTTGACACATCGGTGTTCATTCTGCTTTGCGACCTGTGTGACTTGACGGTCCGACTGTGCCTCTCTGAGGTTTTGGTACACCCTAGTCATTGCCACGCAATTCTCGAAGGCAATGACTAGGAGTTGGTCGGTCGGATGGTTGTGGCATCTCTTGAGCAGCTTGGGAGTTTGCTGACAATGAGTCATTTCTGAAATTAAGGAGTAAACTACATTAAACGACTAGATTGATGATCCCCACGTGTTAAGGTTTAAGGCTAGGTGTCGACTTCAGAACGTGTTTTGCAGTTCTTTTAGCAATTTGGTATCAAGTTGACCTATATATGTTTTAGTAATATTTTTAGCTTGTCGTAGAGCTAATATATTTGTTAGCTCTAGGAATTGCTTGTGGCATGATGCTGGACGAACCTGCTGGGTCCCAAATCTCAGGTACTTGCTTTGTTGGTGTCTCTTGGTTGCTTAGCACTTTCAAACTCCACTTATGTCCCGGTCCCCGGCGAATCCCTCCTAACGTCCATCCCAAACGCTCCCAACGCTCCACACCGGCGAGTGTGCGCTCAGATTTTTGCGGGGCAACCGAAGCTGGCGCAGCTGATGTCTGCCTTCACGCACGCATCGGAGGAGCCAGCTATAGCATGTTTTATAGCCATTGGGCCATTGGGGATGGCGGGGAAGGGCAGCAAGGCTATTTATAGAATTGGAGAGTTTGGCTGATCGCAGCA